AAAACGAGAAGCTTAAGCTATACTAGAAAGAAGAAAAACCTCTTCAAACTTTTCAAAGTTTTGAGTGTCCAGTTCATCATTAACTTCCGGTATGAAAGCAGCTTTCATTTGATATAATTTGTTCCACTCAATGCCTTTAAACCATGGATGAGCCTGGAAAAGGATGAAATATGGTAACCCAAATTTTTGCCACACATAATATATATAGATGTGTGTGTGTGTGTGTGTGTGCATGCAAATTAGATGCAATTAAGAGCACCTTAATTTCGTCAGCGCCTCTTGTACCGAGCCTTCGCTCTACATTACACAGGAGTTTACAGATAAGATCCTTAGCTTCCACTGATAATTTTGCTTCTTCCGGAAATTTCAGATAAGTTCTCCAATTTACTATCTACACCAAGATAAAAGGGTGACTTGTAAACATCAAGAGTACGATACAGCAGCAGGTATATTTTTTTTTTTCAAAAAAAAAAAATATCAATAATGGGTTTTGGCTGATAATTTTGCACAAGCTTTGACGATAAATTTCTGGCATCAAGTGTAAAAAGGGGCTGGCATTCTGGAAATATTACATCCTCAAGTTGACTGGTACTTACTGAGAGGAGAACTTACGCCAATAAACCTTACAAATTCCATTCACTTACTAATCAATTTGGTAGATGGGATTAAATGTTCAAGTTGATATAAGTGGAAGGCCAGTGAGGTAACTCCACCTCAATATAATAAAGCATGGAGAAAAGAAAAAATCGATTATTACCTTCCTGCATGTAGACATGGGTTCATCGGAATAGAATGGTGGATACCCCACAAGCATCTCATACATGATAGCTCCTAGAGACCACCTAGTCATAGACACATCACCCACATATTTCAATTAGAAAAACTCTTTTTTTTTTTTTCTGCCAATTAGAAGTAAAAAAATAAAAATAAAAATAAAAAAAATAAAAAAAAAACTAAGACATACCAATCACATTCCATTCCATATCCTTTCTTCAATAGCACTTCCGGAGCAATATAATCAGGTGTACCAACAGTTGAGTAGGCCTAAGATATTAAAAAGTAGAAAAAAAGAATCAATATTGCTGTGTGCTGATCTCACAACTTAACAACATTTTTTTCTGTAAGAGGAAAGATTAACACTTGTAATACTCACTATTTATAGCCCGAAGTTTAGTTAACTAGATTGCTAAGGGTGTGTTTGTTTATCAATTATTTCAATTCATAATCAAAACTAACTCAATTTTAACCCAGCTCCACTATCCTCAATATTATCATTATAATTAAATAACACCAACCAATCATTTTTACATATCACATCAACTTTAATTCACTATTCATCCATTCACATAATTTTAACTACCATCACTTCACATCATATCCCTCATTCTTTCACATCAAATTAACTTTAATTATTTTATTTTAAATATTATTTTTATATAAACTAAAAATTCAACTAACAAATAACCATATCAACTTTTTCAAAATTAACCATGGTGAACAAAAAAAAATTCGTTTTGAGCGGATATATTTGTATACAAACACGCCCTAAAGGAAGATGGAAAAGTAAGGATGAAAGTAAGTATATAATATTGATAAAAACTTACGAGCATCCTTCTGTTGCGCTGCCAGTGTTGCAGTTGCTCCTGCTGAGTGCGCTTTCGAGCTGCTGGCAGTCCATCACTTTGAAGGGCCCCACTATAGTTATTCCCTACAGAGAAATCCTTTTCTTGGATATTACTGCAATCCAGTGGTTTACATAATCCAAAATCAGACAGCTTCATGTGTCCATGTCTATCAAGGAGCAAGTTATCAGGTTTGATATCCCTGAAAAGTTACAGAGAGACTGATAAATGACTAATAAAGTAACATACCGTGGACCTAGACATTTCAGAACAAATTATGTCCGGATATAAATACAAAACAAACCTATGAATATAATTGTGTTTGTGGATAGATTCAATGGCGAGAACAGTTTCCCCTACATAAAACCTGGCTTCATCTTCTGTTAACGTATCTTTACGCATCAGTAATGTCATCATATCTCCCCCGGGAAGATATTCCATTATTAGGTATAGATACTCTTCGTCTTGGAAAGAACAATAAAGTTTGACAATGCAGTTGCTGTCGACTTCGGCTAGCAAATTCCTTTCTGCTTTTACATGCTCAACCTTGAC